GACCGGGACCGGTTATGTCGGGACCGGTTACCGCCGGTTTTTGTCGCGATTAGGCCCGGTAGGAACCGGTTAAGGCCCGGCCCGGGACCGAATTTTGGTCACCTCTACTCTAAAATGACACCAATATAAATAACCTTGATTTTAGTTCATAGATTTTCTTTGTGTTTTTATCTTTATTAGTTGGTGACACCAATCTTTGTTTTCCAACCTTGAAATCTCTTTGCATTAGAGAATCTTGGGGCACTTAAATCTCTTTGCATCAGAGAGTGGGAATCAAAATGGGAGATTCTAAAGAGTTTATGGGTTTGGAGAGTAAAAAGTTGGTATGATTAGTAGAGAAAGAGGTGAGTTTGGGGATTGGATTGAAAGCTCTTAGAATTGCGTTTTTTTAATTACTTGTATGTACATGTGCATACTGTCTAGATTAATGATTACCAGAGTGTTTCTAACTTTTTTCATTAGGAGGGTTCAAACGAGAACAACAACAAAATAAGAGAACATGAAAACGCCAAATGACGTGCAAAATCACATGTTATTTTACACTAACGGTAAGTGCAAGGGTGTGTCGTTGACGTGGCTCGCGACCTCAAGTTGCGGTCAAAGTCGTGTGAATTGCATGATTTAACACGTGATTTCAGTATCAAACCACATGTGATTCAACTATTGTTCATGAACGAAAAAAAAAACCATTGTTCATGTTCGATCATTTAAGTAAATGAACAAAAAAATGTGTTCATTATAGTTCATTTATTAAATAAACGAACATAAACGAACTTCAAGTCGAATCATTCACGAATGGTTCGTTGAACGTCTAGTTTTGTTAGCAGCACTACGGGTAGTGGTACCTAGGTTACAAGTAGATCCCTACCACCTTGGAAGCCAATGGTTCAAACTTCATTAAAAATGAGAAGTTGAATTTGTTAACTTGAATGATAATTAATAAAAAAATAGAAATAACAATAAGGGAAAAGTAATAAAAAAAAAAAAAACAACAAACTTTCTTATTTTGAATGATTTAGTCTTAAACTATTTTTTTGAATGTAAAAATCATTAAACTTTCTCATTTTAAATGATTAATTTTCTAAACTATTTTTTGAATAAAAAAACTATTAAACTTTTCACATTTTTAATGATTAAGACCCTGATTTAAAAAAATAAATAAATAAACTATCGAACTTTTAATAGTCGGTTAATGTAACTTTTTTGGGTTAAAATGATGTAGGTAATCTATTTTAAAAATGCAACGGTTTATTTTTTTTTAATGTTCAAAGACTTAATTAATCAAAAAAAAAAAAGTTTAATGATTTTTCATTAAAAAAAATTTAAATTTTTTTATTCAAAAATTAGTTGAGGATGTTTATCTATATAATATATTATAAAACATTTAACAAAAAAATTTTAAAATTATTTTTTATGCATGAAGTACTGCTTATTGATGCATATTACTTAAAATTCAAGATTACAAGTAA